TTTTTTGCGTTAACGCTAAGGCTTGATAAATTATATTGTTATACTTCCGTGACATAAAGAGGTATTCGTTTGTTACTGTGAACTTAAACTCGAGCTAGCCCTTCAATGGAAAGCACCAGCGATCAGAGTGGGCTTTGAGAGGCACTTGTATCTGGCGTCCAAACATTTATTTAAACACAAAATTTTGAAAGTTGGATTTTTGTGTGCAAGCACACCTATGATTTCAACTTGGTTTCCAGAATGTGCGCAGAATAATGGTACTCTAGAACGACTGGGCAAAGCACTAACTTATAGATGACTTGGGATTCACCTATACATATCCGAACACAAAGCCAAACTATCAGTAATGTTTGTGCCAATAAAAGATAATCTAAATTTTCATCTTTTTTATAATTAGATAAGTGGAATACATCACACATCAGACATTCTCCAGCATGACATCTCCAGCGTAAATTCTCTCCTCAAAACCGCATTCATTTATGCCACGACGTATACGGAAGAAACCTGAACATTTCAAGTTATAATACTGTGGTTTTGGGTTCCCATTTCAGTTTATTCGCAAACCTTTTTCTCCCCAATCAGTGTTGTACGAATTGGCGGCCAACCAGTAATCTACGCCATCGACACCCCATCCAATAATTTTAGCAGTATGTGCTCCATGTAAGTATCCCCACGTATACTGTAATGTTTCTATATTTTGCTGAAATAGATAAAAGGACCGCTTATGAGAAAACTTGGATTATCTGCTCGAATGTAAATCGTACCGTATATACTCCTGTCTTGTAATACATGAAATCTGTGTAGACTCGGAAAACTGTGATAACAGGCCCGTTCTTCATTATCTCTCTCTGGATAGAGGCTACGTTTGCGGGGATAGAATATGAACTTTTACCTTGATTGAAAATGATTAAACCGAAATACGGATAGCTCAGAAGTAGAACTTTATGCTAAAGAAATTTTTTTTGAATATACATATATGTGTATATGTCCAAAATATCCATAAATATAAATATAAATATAAATATATATATATATACTAGTTACTTAAATACTTAGATGGCCTGTCTCCACTCACAGCACTGTTTCCACCCGTTTTTGTCTCTCGCTAGCGTCATCCACGATGTTGGTACGTTACCGGTTGGGAATTCAACTGGTCCATCCGTGTGACGAACACGTCAGCCCATTCGTCGAGGACTTTTCGCTTCGCGAGGAATACATATCAGCTTAGTGTCTGTCTGTCGTCTGTCCTTCTCATTATATGATCAGCCCATCGATGTTTTGCTTTGGATTATTATATACGTACCACTGGATCGGAGACATTGATCTCTTATCTGAACTGCGAATTCCGACGAGATGTTGAGCACGTCGGTTGTACTTCAGAAGACGTCGTTCCAGCGCTCTGTGGGTTGTTCGGAGAGGCTTTGACGTAGCCACAGTGTCAGGC